AATAGCTGCAGAATCAATGGTTTATGCCCAAATGGCGAGGAGAGACATGGAACCAGCGCCGAGGAGAAGAGAGAGAAAGGCCGCCAAGTGAAGCCAGAGATTGGATTGTAATCTCGGGTTGACGAAATCAGGAGCAAGCAGATCAACAAGTGACATGTAAATGAGAATCCCAGCAGATGCAGCATTCAACATTCCTTCCACCATTATTGCCTCTTTGCTCTCTTTCCTGTATCCTAAACCACTTGACATCCCCATTCCTATCCCTATCCCAACCGGTGCCGTCACCGAGAAAAATGTCGCCATTATCACCGTCGATTTCGACTTCAACTCCGCCTATACATACACACAAATCCATCATATTGTCAGACTTTTATCAAAAGTTTTCAAATCAAAATCAATTGGCGATAAGTGGAGAAGTAAAACTTACAAGGGATATGCATCCACCGAGTCCAAGTCCTTCGAAGAACTGATGGAAAGAAAGAGCAGCCATGAGTGGCTTTATGGTCTCTATACTTTGTGAAGCTCCAAGCGATATTCCTATTATAACCGAATGCACAACTATCCCAATCTCAAGAACCTGCGACACTATCCGTCTCCTGATCAACTCAGTCGAGCCATGTGCGTGTCCGTGGCTCGCGTGCGTGTGCACATGAACATGACCCGCATGCTCTTCTTCGTCTACTACGTTCACTTGCTTGCTACCATTGTTACTGCTAAAAAGTTGCCTCTTATAATACCCCGTCGCGAAAGTATCAATCATAAGAGTCCCCATAGCCGACAGCATCGCTACGAAACCCGCGAACGGGAACTTTCCAGCTACCGTATCCTCGAGACATGGCGAGCTTAATCTATCGAAAGCGTCTGGTAAGATATGAACAAAACCAGTGCATAGGATCACTCCTGCCGCAAAAGCTTTCACCATGAAGAAGACATCGTTTTCGGGTTGTAGCGCCGGAATCTTTCTCCCGATCAACGGTAGACTCACGCCGACTCCTCCGGCCACAAGAAGCAGAGCGATCGAACCGAGCTTAAGCTTTGTTGCTTTCTCTGCTTCTTCTTGAGAAACAGAGCCATGATCATCGTGACTTGTACAATCACTAGAAGCACAACACACATGTAAACATATTATTAGTATTGTAAAAACTCTCAACATATTTAGAGAAAAACAGCCACATTCAGACATGGGTTTAGTTAAGCTATTTTCTTGTTCTTAGTTCTTCTTGTAAGAAAGTAAATGTGGAGAGTTATGGGGAAGAAAGAGAAGCATTTTATAGCGAGAAAGCTAGAGAGAACCTTCACTTTTTTCTCAAGTGAATGGTCCATAAATGTTTAGTAGGGGAATCTTAAGTTACGTAGAGTTGACCACTATAGACATTTCTTTGTTGGTCTCCCACC